TCTCATGGCGGAATGGCAGCAACGACTGTCGCAACCGAGGGCTGGGCTCGCTGCCATCGCAGCGGTAAGTCCCCTCTTTGAGGAGTGGCTTGAGAGACGCTACGGCGTCCTCACCTACCGCCTGACGCAGGTCCTCACCGGACATGGAAGTTTCGGGAGGTACCTGTGTCTGATGGGGCGGGAGGAAACGCCCGGGTGTCATCACTGCGAGGACCGCCCTGAGGACACGGTGGAACACACGGTGGGAGAATGCCCTTCGTGGGCTGAGCACCGCCGTGTCCTCAGGGAAGTGATCGGCGATGGCGACCTCTCGCGTCCGGGCCTAGTGCAGGCCATGATGCGGAGCGAGGGGGATTGGGATGCCGTCTCCTCCTTTTGCGAAGCAGTCATGCTAGCTAAGGAGGAGGCGGGACGCGTGAGGCAGCGAAGCGCTGCCTCCTCGCAACCCAGCCATCGCGAAGGACACACCGGGCGTCGGGGATCGCGGGACGATCTCCGGCCACCGTAAGCGCGGGCCTGCGGACGGCGAGCATGGGTGGCTCCCCGTCCGACCAGAAACAGACCCGAGCGTACGGCGCGTCGCGTTCCGCGCGCGCCTCAAAGAGCCATCAGACCACCACAGATGGGGCCCAATAGGGCCGATGCCGATTCGGAGTCGCGGAGAACCTAACGGGTAACCGGGGCTCCGGCTCGACGTGCAGGAGAAGGAACGGGGTGGTTTTTAGTCAGTAAGAGTCTGACACTCCCTCCCGCCTCACCCAGGCGGGGGCAGTCATTCGATGATTTTCCCCCCTTAAAAAAAAAAAGGCTGCAAGGCAGCACTTTTACTTACACGTCAATTTTACATATTAAGTGAACGATGAGGTCGACATTTCCTAACTGATTCCTATATGTCATTTCGATTTCTTTCTGGCAACTTCCTGGTGTTGGTTGGTTGGCTCATTCTCTTTTGATGGCTCATTTTGTTTAGTAGCTTCGGCATTTTCATCATTAACTAACTTTCTCAAGATCTTCCTCACTTTCTTTATTTGCAAGGACTTCAGGTGGTGGATCAGATGATTTCAGAACCGAACATTGCCTGTAAGCTCTATTTTTCATTAGCTGAATGAAATTTTAAGAGATATATTTCACCCCTTAACAAGTTAAAATTGTAATTTTATATAGTTTTAAGAAAAACTGGGTCTTTAAACCTATGAAATTGCCGTTCTGCATGACAGGCCATTTCAAATCAAAATAATTTTTGTTTGCCAATTCTAATTCCAAATTTTAATTTTAAAAACATGATATTTTTATCCAAAAGTAGTCATTTGTTTATTGATTAGTGTTTAATTTTCATTGCATTTCAATCTTGTTCGTCGCGACAGTAACGCGACAAGCGACTCACACAACATCAACGACGTTTACGGAGCTAACACGACAAATCAACGCACAACCTGTCATTGGTTTGCTTGCTTCCTTTCTGGAAATTTTGACCTGAAAAATGAACCTCGCGGTCGTCCGAAGACTTTGGTCGACAATGATGAATTAAAAGCGGTTTTGGAAGCAGATGATACACTCACTATCTACAGCTGAATCAGCAGCAGCTTTCAATGTTACCGTAAAAACAATATTGGTCCATTTGTATCAAATTGCCAAGGTACAAAAAACTTGAATACCGGTGTCCCACGAACTCAATGATTGCTAGCGCGAAGTACCTACGCGTCGAGACGTGTCTTCAAATTTACTTTATTTGAACCTTTTATTTATTATGAATTTTGGAAATCATATTGAATTTTGAACCGCAATATTACATGCGATGAAAAATGAATTCTGTTTGATAACCGCAAGCGCTCAGCAATTTGGTTGGAATCTGGTTCAGTATCTAAACAATGCCCTAAACGAAAACTAACCCCTAAAAAGTAATAGTCACTGTTTGGTGATCTAGCGCCCGCCGGTGTGATTCATTACAGCTTCTTACCAGAATATGGACAACTTCTTGCCGCGAAAAAAGTCAAGACATACCCGAGAGGCAGTACAAAATGCCTTTGAAGCATTTATTGCCTCCCGTCCATCTGATTTCTTTAAGAAGGGCATCAAGAAACTGCCACTGTATTGGCAAAGATGCATTTATTGCATGTATGATTACTTATATTTGGTAATACAAATAAAAAGTACATAAAACAATTCATATAATTTTTTTCATACAAAACGACAATGCCTTTAACGACAATTACGTAAAAGACCTATTAGGTACTTCTAAATTATTATGTTTGAAAATAAATAATTACTATTTCTTGAACCGTTTATTTCTCCCATCTAAGGGGTGTTTCTAAAATGGCATGGCATGGGCCAAGTGCGGTTAATACATTTATTGTGATTGTGTACCTTTGCTACGTATTAAAAAAAAAACGGGTTAGGCAAGAAGAAGGAAGGTGAGGCAGAAGATGGGCTGATATTTAACTCTTTAAGACTATTATGGAGGGTTTTTGGGTACTCCCGCGGTGGATAAAATGTCAAAAATTGGGACTGTTTTGGTATGGGTAATCATCGATCCACTGAGTTTTTATTTCTATTGATAAGTCTGTATATTTTGCTGTTTCTTCGGTGTGTGTGGTAGTGAGATTATGAGCGTTGCCAGTGGCTACATTTCTTTTATAAACTAACTTTTTTTGTTTATCTAGTAGACTAGCAAAGTTATGTTTGGTCTATTGTTGTGGATTGTTTTGTCTCAATACAATTTTAAATATTCGTTTTGTAATACTGCTTACATACATACACAACTTCATGCTTGCCTCCCATGGAGATAGGCAGAGACTATAGAACACCGATTACTACGATTCCTACATACCTCTTTCGCTTCATCAACATCATCTAATACTGCTTGTGGCTTATATTTGTAGTACTTTATCGGTGACCAATTTAGTTTGTATTGCTATGGTGAATGTCGCAACAAATTTGTCATTGGGGTATTTGTAATCAGTCTGGGCTATGGCTCGGCACACACCTGTGATGTGCTAGATATTTCTGAGGCACCGTGACTTCGTCTACAGGAGCAATTATAGTTGGGTCTACGAAACGTGAATTTTTGATAAGTTGGCTGTGTCGATAACCTGGTCTTGTATGGCGATCATAAATCCCTCCGTTTCAGGGCAGAGTTCACCTCGCCTCGCAGCTACGCGTTGGATGCTATCGACATGAGGTAGCTGCAGGTCGAGGCGATGTCTTCCATGGAGTTATGAGTCCAAGCTGCTGTATTGTAATGCATTTTTTACGCTGAGGCTCGAATGTAAATTAAGAGGAGTATGTTTTCTATTACTGCCTGATTGGCCCAGTGGTCGCAAGGACAGGGGGTCTCGGGTTCGATTCCTGGGTCGGGCAAAGTATTACTGGGGTTTTAAAAATTCTCAGTAGTAGCATCGAGTCTGGAATTGTACGCGGTATATGGCAATAGGCTCACCCCCTATTACATGGGACTCATAACATAAATTGTGAAAAGTGGGTGTTACATATTGTACAGTAGTGGCATTAAGTGCCGTATAGTACATCTCTGCCTACCCCTTCGGGGATCAAAGGCTTGATGTTATGTAAAATTTTCAATTATTACTTAAAGAATAATAAACTAAATAGTGGATTCCTTATTGCACTCTAATACTAAACGAGATGTTTCATCGTTCGATCGCAATGAAGCGATAGATGTGGTCCATTTACACCCACAAGTGCCCACAACACTCGAGGAGTTAATATTTGTGATTTGCGTGATATTGTTGAAAGAGGAAATAGAAATAAAATCTCATAATTTCATATGCGCCGTCCTCACAGAACGGCCACTCTTTATTTTTATAAATTTTAATTTATTTACACATTTTCCTTTTCTTCTACTTTACATTTATGACGTTAACGTTTTTAAAATACATTACAAAAACAAAAAATAATAATAATAATTATATAACAGAAATACATGAGAAATGTACACTTATTTTAGTTCAGATGAATGGGAAAAATAGATGGACTAGTATACCCAATTAGAAAAAATAATCGTCCCCAAGAAAACATTTTTTATCATTTATTTTCCCATTTTTTCAAAAAAAGTATTTCATAAATTTTCGCCTACATGTATAAATGTTTATAAATTAATGTATTATCGTAAAAAATGGCGGAAAATTTATTAAATACTTCAGTCTAATATATATTGCTTTACATTTAAAATATACATGGAAATCAATGTCGTTATTTATTGTACTTTTATCAATTCTAATCAAACAATTCCTTATTTTATGGGAGGCTGGTGGGTCCATTTGACGTTGTTTAGTTAAATTACGTACAACAGTTAAGTCTACAGTTAAAAAAGGAGGTTAAAATACGGTTGCGCAAAGAATTGACAAGAGTTTTGCGCATAAACGTGTGTTGCGCAAAATTGTCGATGGTTTGCGCAAAATTACATAATGGTCTATGGTTGAAATATTACTTTATACACCGATTTAACGACAAATAGAATCACCAGCGTCTTTCTATTAAAAGTAAACAGGTATATGCATGGCATTAAAAATCTACTATACGTAGAAATCATATTTTTGTAAGATTTTTTTTATTATTTATTTATTTTTATTAAACGAGATATTTATTCTAATTTCTAATGTACAGAAAGTGCACAACATCAAGTGGTGTCAGTCTATAATAGGTTTGGATGGATGGATTTTTTGAAATATTGACAAATTATAGTTACAATAAGCTGGTTTGAGGTCCGCACTTTATATGGGCCAATAGGAATCACAGGTGCTTAAAATGAAACTTGTAATTTTTGTTATTTGAACCATAACATAGATTTTTCACTAGTAAAAGACCTTTTCGATATTTTTTTTTTATATTTTGAGAAATAGGTTCTCATTTCTGGGTTAGATACTGATATTTTTCTTTCCAGCTGTCATTAGAGATGAACGTAAAATTGTCCAATTATATTGTATGTATTTACTTTGGCCCAAAACAATTTGCGTTAACCTCAGTGGTGGTATTTTAAAAACTTATATCTGGCAGTGTAAATGCTTGTCTTTTGTGCATTGACTATTATGTCTTTTTAAATAGGTTTTTTGAATAAACAGATCGAAATGTTAGTCTAGTAGGAATGTCCTTATTGTAATGAATGCTTGGAATAGATAGATTACAAAAATCTCAGTAAAATTGCATTAAGCTTTTAAAATACCACCACATAATGATATTTCAAACTAAAATCGACCGTACACTGATACAGTTAAGCTTCATAATTGTATAAAAGCATACGAAACGGTACAATATGGCAGTGATACAATAATGGCTAAAAGCGAACTTAAACTAAACATAACAATTCGTCGTTGTGTTTAACGGAAATCCAATAAAAAAGGGTATAATTGATGTATAATTTGCATTAACACTTGCATTGATTGATTAAAATATATGCATTGAATTTGTACGTAATATGAGGTCATAAAAACAACATATAAAAGATTAGAAGCAGAAAAATATCTCCCAAACATCAGTTAAGAGGTATAACATCGCCTAGCCATTACTTAGGATACCTAAAACTCTTCGCATAGAGTAAAAAACAACGTTAAACACAACAACGGACTGCGACATCACAGATATCATTACTACAGTAAGAAAACATGTAATACGACAGAATGCCATGACTGTAACCCAAGTAGTAACGATAGTAAGGTCACACTGGAAGTAAGTACTAAATATCTAGTACTAAACGCTAACCATATATACAAAATTACTATCCAACTCGCAATGAGTACATGGTCGCGACATAGAATCTTGAGCCATTATATTTAAATAGGATCACAGTGAAAAAAGTGATTTAAATTTAAGTCACTATATACTATAAATATTAATGTCCATGTTATGGCAAGTTTCTCTAAATAAACCTGAAGTGTTTCTAAGACCTCTAACTGTCTACGTCCATAGAAAAATTTCCCTTTTACTAGTTTTTTTTTATCTGTACAACACGCGAAGTCGCTAACACATACTTTCACAGTCTAATCACAAGGTTCAAATTGCACTGTTTAAAAACTGGGTTGCGACACAGTCCTAGGGTTGCCACTCTGGGGCTGGTAAACGTCGTAGGAGTTGTGTGGCTCCAAGTGGCAGACCACATTGTTTTCTCCGTTGAGAACGGCTGCTAGAGCCCTCATGTTGCTCTCTTGGGGCTGATGATACGGGTGCATCAGCCTTCCACTCTCATAGTGCCTCTGGTCATAACGATCGAGGGTGTCCCACTTTCCATACTTCCCATAATGCTCCTGTTCATGATGATGTCTCTCTCCAGGGCTGTAGGAGATTAAAGGGCGATGGTCTCCAAAAAACTTGGAGCTGGAAGACCCATGGTGTCCAGGGTTCTGCCGGCAGTTGTCAGGGCCTGAGTTGTCGTCCGACATGTCAGACATTAAAGTCTCGTTCCTCTCGATTTCTTCGTAGACTGGGTCATCTTGTATGACTCGGAATTCTTGTTCAGAGCCTCGTCGGTACATTCTGCCTTGTTGGTTGGCGATTTCGGAATAAGTGTGGTTGACGTTTTGGCTTCCATGGTGATGGTGGTGTTTTCTGCGATCATCTTTGTAGTGTTTTCTGAAGATCATCTCCTGACTGCCTGGAGAGTGTTGGGACATGTATACGTGTGGGTTTCTGAAGTCGTGGTTGTAGCTGCGAGTGGTTTGGTACCCTTGTGGGTGATGGAGAGGGCTTTCTTCGTCTTTCAGGGCATGGCGGGGGGATGGAGGCGCAAGGGGCGCGTCACACTCGTAGGGGCTGTGGATGTGGTTCTGCTGGGCGAGCTGCCGCGACAGTGTGTCGTGGTGCGGCAGGGTAGACGTGTTCCCTGGGTGATGTTTAGAAGAAGTGTTCTGTAAGACAAAGAATATTATTAGAATGGACGTTTAACTGTTTCGGCAAAAAACAGCTCAATTTTTAGTTTGTTTCATTAAAGATATATTTATTTTTGGGACCAGATATATATAAGAACTTTAGTTTGTAAGTACAATTTATTAAGTATTTTATATATAGTTAAAGTATTTACATTTTAATTGAAAATAGTGTTAATAATATCGTTTAATTCTCACTAAGTCAGTATAATGGTGCTAAACTTAGCTAAGTCTAAGTACTAAGAAGTGTTACCACTCGTGTACACGATGGCTGATTTTGGCTTAAATATATTAAAAATTTACAACACAGATTAAACATCAAATGAGAGAATATGAACATGATTGAAAACCTTACTTATTGGTGTGAAATAAGATTATTTGATGAAGTACAGTGAAGGCTTAATTAATAATGAATATTTTACAAATGACATTGTGAAAGGAGTCGATAGAAAAAGAGGATGGAAGAAAATAGGTAGAATTTTGACATATTTTGTATAGAGCTTATGTCAAATATAGTCTGTGGTTACAACCACAGATAAGTTATGGAAAATTACCGCTACAATTTTATTGGTTATTTAATCTGTGATTTTTTTATATTAATATTGAAGTTGTTTTAGGAAAATAGATGTGATTTAGCCATAATGAGCGATTGTGTACAGGAGATGTACGGAAGGAGATGGGTAGGGCTATATGCAGTGAGGTGACGTCATGCAATGTCCGCTAATTGTAATCATGCAGTTAGGTGATTCCTTTACGATTTAGTAAGATCTCATAGTCCCCATTGTGAACCGCCACCAAATAAAATAAATTAAAACTAATTGCTGGAAATAAAAACCTGTAAAAACATAGAAAAAAAAATAAAAATCGATTCGCTTATTAGTATAATTTTCCTATGTATTTTAATAAATAATAGAAATGTTGATATTTTTTTAAGTATATATATAAGAATTTACTTAACAGAAATAATTCATTTATTAATAATTATAAGTAGGTTACATTTAGAATAATCTGTGATCGCTAAAAATAGCTCGTTGAAAAACGTTTCGTTCTTTGCTAAATAACGCCAGAAAATATTCACAATGTGTGAAAACATAACAAAATAAAATCGATTTTACTAGATTAGATCTTACCAAAACGCAATAGAAAACTATAATGAACACATCAAACGGTTATTCTAGCAGCGGCAAGCTGGACAGCCCTTCCCTCACCTTCCAAACGTTAGCATTCGCCATCACCGCCCACTCGTTCGCGCCAATAGAAGCCGCCATCTTGTTCGAAAAACAAGATGGCGAACGAGACCTCAAATTCTGGTAATCATTAGGAACTTCTATATTGTTCCTGTAGCTATGCATCGACGCTATACTTTGTGTGTGAGATGTAGAATGCGGAATATTCTGAGGAGTCGGTACACGCATCGATCTTGCATCGTCACTTGGAACGTAAATCGGGGCCGTCGGACGAATATTCCAGCGCGCCGTCTCAGGTTGCAAGTTGTAACTCTATATAAAGAATTATCATATAATACACATATAATTATACTAAATACATATACTATAGGATAGACGACAGAATGACTATTGCGTTACGCATCTAGAGATAGGATTCGTTGTATTTCCAAAGTGAATGGTTCAATATTTTTAACGGTTAGTTAGAAATATTTTAACCCATTCGTAGATGCTGTCAGTAAACTATAACCACCACACCACTAGAGGAAGTGTTAATTTACGTTTGAAATGATTATTAGTTAAGCATTAGTGATAGAAAGGCTTGGAGAAGAACAGAGAAAGAAGGAACATAAAAATTGGACTTACCGTGACAAAAAAAACATACAAACAAAAAAATGTTAGTGACATTTGTACACAGTAAACAAAACAATGTTAAGATAACAAACACAAAACAAATTGAGCTGTCTTTAACCAATTAGTGACAATAAGCCAGTGGTGTCTGGTGGTTGAAGTTGATTTTTTTGGTAAAAATTTTGGAAATACCCTATCTCTTTATGCGTACGCACCTTGTTGGCCATTTTGCCGGTATCCATGGGGGTATCTTCCGCTACCAGGGTTGATAGGACTCCTAAGTTGTGTCATGGGTGCTGGAGGTTCTCTCTCAGGCATATTATGGCCAAAATTAGCCGCTGTAGCGTTTAAACTAGGTCCAAAATTGGATGACGGACCGAAATTTTGGTTTTCTTGCGATGTTCGTCGATTTCTGTTTGAATGATAGCTATGCGCGGCCGCGGCGGCTGCTAGTGATGCTACAGCGGCGTTGTTGACAACGTTATTGTTGTTATGGTTATTGTTGTTGACAACAACGTTTAACGTTTTGATAATTAAGTTGTTCGTGGTTGACGCTGACGCGGCAGGAAGACCAGATGTGCTTGCAGTGTTCTGCTAAAGTCGGAATTGGTATTTTATTGGTCTATTCTTGTGGTTTTACAAATATGAATCATACTGTTTTATACTTAAGTGTTATTTTAGTATGTGCATCTAATTATTTTTTCGTGTTATAAATATACTAAACATAATTATAAATCCGATTATTTTCTTTCGTAGATTAGTTTTATACCAACACCAACGTGCAATATTACTTTTTGTAGTATCTTAGTTAGATTGTGATGATTTGTCGTAAATGCCAATTAAGTTATACGTTATAATTATATAATAAACATAATACCAATAGTATGAAGTTATAACATAGATTTTTATATAAGTAGGTATATATTTTATAATTTTGAAAGCACCCTTTCCCATGATTTTGTATATTAAATTGAAAAGACTTAAATACTACAAAAATGGACAAATAAAATATATAACAAAGCGATGAACTTTAATCGTTTTATAACATGAATAACCTTCTTGTTACGTCTATAGTCTTTGGTTGGGCTTATAGATAACTAGTGTAATCAAAAATTTTGTCAATTAGGTAATTATTATTACTTCCCATTAATAATTACGATTTTATTTGTCCAAAATCATCCCATAACCTAAATAAAATCTATCTTTACATACCGTGACATCTCTTGGATCCACGACATCATCTACATCAGCAGCGCTCTGGTGGTACCTTCGACTCTTCACAGACCCTTGTCTGGTGTCCATGTGGTTGGAGGAAGATGCCGTGGGTCCATTATTATGCTGTAGGGTTTCTGAGGGTTGTCCTGTGAAGTGGAGACAGCAAGAGAGCCAGGGGTGTCGACGGCCGATGCGAGCGCATTCGTTTCGGAACTGTAATTTTGAAGTATATTGTGATTAGCTTTATAGAAACATGCTTCAGCTCAGATTTCAGAGACTTATTAAATTCTAGTTTAATATAAAATAAGAGTCAATAGCTTTCCTTTCCGAGAGATTAACAGATCAATTTTGCAAGTAAACCTATTTCGTTTGATATAATATCAACCGAAAAATAAACAAAAGAAAGTGGTATCGTGCTTTCTTTTGTTCTGTTTATATCTTCCTATTCAGCTGTTTTAGACGAATTGATCAGACTAGTGATAAAAAAGCATTGTCTTGCACGAAGACCTCATACTATTGATTATATAATATAGATTAATGTAATTAAAAACTATCTATACACATTTTCGCGGAGAACCTAACGGGTTACCGAGGCAGCTCGTGCAGGAGAAGGAACGGGGTGGTTTTTAGTCAGTAAGAGTCTGACACCTCCTCCCGCCTCACCCAGGCGGGAGCAGTCATTTGATGAATTTCCCCCATTAAAAAAATCTATATATCTATAATTTAATTCAACTTACCTTATCATTCTGCAAACAATGGAAGATGAAGATCACAAGTCCTTGCAGGGAGTTCAGGATAGTGAAGGCATACGCCATAGCTACTGTCTGCTCGCTCAGGTACAGCAGGCCGAAGGTCCAGGTCAGTCCCAGGAGGAACGCCAGAACCAGAGAGCTTTTTAGCCAAACCCTGGAAAGGGGAAGTAGAGATGTAAATAAATACACTTAAATGTTGATTCCGGTAAATTTTTCTTCGTGTTCATGTGCGAAAGCCATGCTTCGTGATGCCACATCATAAACCAATATGAAACAACGCTTGGTTGTGTTTCGTCGTGTTTGTTATCAGAGTTCCCAGGTCAGCAACGGTGCAACACCAGAGGTGTTACTTGTGCCGTATAGGTGGCACTGATTGCTTACCACCAGGTAGCCCGTTTGCTTGTTTGCCTGTCTATTGCCTAAATCATTCTTATATAGGTACATACATACATAACTACACGCCTGTCTCCCATGGGGGTAGGCAGAGACTATGGAACGCCAATTACTAAGACTCCTATATACCTCTTTCGCTTCATCAACAATCATCAATCTTTTCATGCATGCTCGTCGGTTCAATTTGGTCCTTCTTTAATATATCGCCAATCTGGTCCGAGAATACGTCCGTCTAGAGCGCCCTCTACCGACGGCCCTATTCAAATCCGCTCTGAATACTTCTTTCGTTACTCTACTTTCATCCATCCTTTCTACATGTCCAAACCAGCGTAACATTCTCTTTTCAATCCTTGTCAATACATCATCTTTCAATCCATACCTTTCTCTAATAACACTATTTTTCACTCAATTACTCAAGTTTACTCTATACATACTTCTCAGGACTCTCATTCTCACCGCATTAGTACTTAAAAATATTCCTAGTTAGACAAATTTATACTTACTTCATTTTATAAAGCTTGGCGTCATCTTTCGCCTTCAGAGAGACCGTGGAGTGCGTGCACATCATGTAGATCACCATGATCAGACAGATCCAGTTAGCCTGTAATAGATGAACAATTTTATTGTAACACACATAAGGTACAAAATACTTATTAACTATGAGAAACTTAATATTGTTACGTTTTATGACAAAATAGAAAAGAAACTCTATGATTTTAACGTGGCCAACAAGCTAGAAGGTCACCTCATATAAATGGATCACAGTACAAAAAATTTTTTTAAAGCTTTTACTGCCTATATTATATTATTGAAGGCAATTCCGTCCGTTCCGTAATCAACGTCTGTCACCGGTGATCCCTATGGCGTTTAACGTGTTAAATTCTGTCTAGGGATATATTCTAATTCTATACACCATATTAAAACTGTCAAACACCAAGCGGTCACCGGTGACCGCAACCTATTGTTCTATAATTGTGTCTACAAAACCGGTACTCGACGAGTTAAAAAAGTCAACTTACCACCAGCACCAAAATAACAGGTCCAACGAAGCTCATCATAAACCATCGATCAGTGGTCAGCCAGCAATGTTTCTCAGTGCCATATCCTCCAGGGTACACGGCAGCAGACACCAGGACTATCAGCGCTGGCACCAGGTACGCACAGGTGCAGTACCATCTGGCCCGCGGATGTTCTGGCTCGAATACTTCTACCAGCATCGCGTAAAGGTGGAATCCTGGAAGGTTAAGTTAAAAGAGTTAGTTTTTGTATTATATTTTTCTTACATTGTTATGTGTAGTTTAAAAGAAGAAGGTCAAAAAATTCAATAATAACTAGTAAAGCCTGGAGCCCGTCTCAAAGAAAATGTACAAGTCCACATAGTTTTTGTTTTAAATATTGTGAACTATCTGTATTGTGTACTTCAAAGTAAAAAGTAAAAACTCCATACGATATTAAATAATATAATATTAAAATGGAATATTAATATGATATATAATATTAAAAAACATAAGAACAACATACCTTCAAGGAACATCCACGCGAAAGCAGCCAAGAAGAAGTAATGCAGAAGACCAGCGACTACTCCGCAGAAGATTCTGTTCTGTGTCTTGTCTATACCTGCTAGGAACACGATCTCGGCGACTAGGAGGCAGGCACACAGGTTCTTGTGGATTAAGGCGCGGTCAGACTGGTGGGAGAAACATTTTGAGTTAGATTAAGAAGATTGTGTGTGTTTTGTTAATGTTAAGGGTGGATTTTGAATGTAGTAACGATTCTGTAAGGTCTCAATAGTGTAATCAGCTTAGCTTCAGTTGACTGACTAATGAATTGAGATTAACATAAATTTTATGTGGGTCAGTAGACATTAAACTACACAAACGTCTCTAGTGATAAACTCATTAAATTTTTCATTTCAAAACTCCTTTTAGAACATAAAAACCATTTAAATGTACCTTTCCATTTCTAAAGCAGGTAAAAACAATGATGGCGGCCGCCAAAGCTACAGTGGAGATGCCACAGCCGATGTAAGTTAGTGTTTGCAGAGCCAACTCGTGCGCCGCGCTCAGTGGCACGGCGTGCACGTCCATTAGGATCGCGAAGTTGGTGAGGTGTGAGCACGCGCACCCCGTGTGCGTAGAATTGGACCATTCCACTTGACAACCTTCTGGAGACCAGCCACTGGAAAATAAGTTTTATTTAGTTAGCATTGGGTCATAATTCTTTTGTTATTTTAATATAATAATTACTCTGCCTCGTTGGCCAAGTTGTCGCAAGTGCGACTCCCTGGCAAGGGGTCTCGGGTTCGATTCCCGGGTCGGGCAAAGTATTACTGGATTTTTAAAAATCTCAGTAGTACCACGGAGTCTGGAAATGTAATGTACCCGGTATGTGGCAATAGGCTCACCCCCTATTACATGGGACTCATAACATAAATAGTGAAAAGTGGGTGTTACATTGTACAGTGGCATCAAGTGCTGTAATGTGCACCTCTGCTTACCCCTTCGGGGATAAAAAGTGTGATCTTATGTATGTATGTAATTACAATGACTATGCTTTAACAATTATTCAGTTTTCCTTAAATGTACCTCTAGAAAAGACACCAATACGTTCCCTCACTATCTCTGATGTGTTTATAATCGCTTTGTACTTTTGAATATGAATGTGCCCAATCAAAATACTAGGTACGCATTTGGAACTCCTTTGGTTGTGCTGGTGTCCATGGACGGCGTTGATTGCTTACTATCATATGATCTATCTGCTTCTCTCCCTCATAAAAACTCTATACTTACTACAAGTCGCGGAGAACCTAACGGGTAACCGACGCTCCGGCTTGACGTGCAGGAGTAGGAACGGGGTGGTTTTTAGTCAGTAAGAGTCTAACACTCCCTCCCGCCTCACCCAGGCGGGAGCAGTCATTCGATGATTTTCCCCACTTAAAAAAAATACTTACTGCAACGTATAATCCCAGAAGACGCAAGCTGGATTGGTGACATTCTCGGTCTTGATATGTTTCATTGTGATCTGTACCATCTGAGAGAGCTGGATGTGGCGTCCGTTCCCTAGACTGGCTGAGATAACCTAAAAGAAGAATTTACATATTTTGTTACATAAATAAATATTTTCTTTAAATCATCAAGGTGAACTAAATTTCCATGATCTTACCTTAGAATTAAGTACTCTAGTGATATTCTTCTTCTCTTTCTCCGAGTTGATGCTGGTGGATGAAGAGGTTCCAGAGTCCGCTTGGAAGGTGGAGAGGAAGCGAGGGGTTTTTCCGAAGGTCGGTGGTAGAATCTCTTCTAAGCGATTGAAGGCAAAGAATACGATACGAACTAAGTCGTTTTGTCGGTTATCTGAAGAAATATGGGAGAAAATTTGGTTAAAGATCTTGGACTAACCAGCGCCATACAAATAATAAAATATTTTCAACGGTATTGTTCTACTAACAAGGTTCAAAATACACTATCAACATTTCCCTCTTATGTTAGCTTTACTTACCCAGTAAGGCAGCTTTGGGTATGGTGATGGTATCTTCAGATCCCTTCCATTGCTCTTGCGCGATGGGTGACGGGAAGGTCTCGTCTTCCACGTTCTTTACTTCCAAAACCCTTACTGATAGACCTGAAAATTTGTAAGTAATGTTAGAGTAGTCTTAGAAGTTATTTTAAGACACCAAAAATATAACTAGTTGAAATATATTTCTTTACTGGAATGGTGGATACCTACTTGAGTTTTTAGTACCACAAATATTGGTTCTGTATGGAAGTCGAACCCATCAGTGGCATGATGCATATACATCGACAACACGAGGCATTTTTACTGCTCGACTAAAGACATCCTCTACAGAAGGGAATGCGCCAGATTCTTCTACTCTACGTTATAGCACAATAGTGCCAACTTATTGCGTAGACTTTTATATTTTAATTAATAGATGGTTGAATACTTACAAATATTGTTAACAATCTGCAGAATAGTCTTCTCTTTGGTCACAGCATCAGCCAGAAGGAAGGCATTCTCCTCAAGTTGGGTCAGCAGAGCACTAGCCGCTCTACTCTGGGCCTCAGAACTGAGATCAGCCCAAGAAGATCGCTGGCTTTCTTCTAGAAGGTTCGATCCTAGTGGAGAAGAGATGAGGTTAAGGAGTGCTGAACCTGGGTTAAACATAAGCAGAAAAGCTGTTAAGGCTTTTAAATGGGAGCTCGATTTTTTGGGAACCTTTTACTTTGGTGATCTTTGTGACACTTTCTTCTTGACCAGGTTCATCATAATGGTCCAATTGACAATAATGAATCATAGTCATCATCGTATCAGCCACAAGATGTCAAATGATGGATAGCTAATGACATCAGAATGAGGTCTTTATGTTGTTGAAGTGGTGTATATAATAGTAACAACTAAAAGTCGAGCTCCAATTTAGGCTAAAGCATAATACACATACATATAAATAAATGCTCATAAAAATAAAAATACATATAATGTGTATATACGAAGTAGTTAATAATACATTAGCGTCCCTATTAACTAAACAGTTTATTATTAATATTTGCCATAGGTATTTTTGTCACTGTTATGCCTATTGGCTTGCCAGTGAATCGAACTTACCAGTTTTGATGACTCCAAGTAGCATGTCAGTGACGATGGCTTCCCTCTGCCGAGGGTCTGGGAAGGTCTGGACGTTCTGTGACATTCTCTGGGCGAGCTTTTTCATGATGCTGGTTGTGGTCATCATATCTCCTCCGTATAGGGTCTTTGATGAGGTTACCTGAAGAGGATATCACAATGTGTAGTTGGAAATATTTAAAGTTGTATTTTTAACCTTACTGCTAATAATATAGAGATATTCTGGACTAGGTGGTAAGTGCTCAACAGGAGAACGTAGGTAGGTAGTAATTTAAATTGCAAAAATAGTCTTACCTGAGCCAAATCATTGCTGATGCTGAGCAGTGATTCTCCTTCTCTAACCCTGGCTTCTAAGCTGTTCAACCACACGGAGCGGCATTCACTTAGATCTGGAGTCTCACCATGCCATTCTGGTACTGAATCGGCTGCAGGAAAAAGGTCACATTAAGCGCTATTATTCTACCTCTATGTAGGAGTAGACTGAGAAACCTACTCTTCATCACCTGTTATAAGTTCCATTTAATTGAGTCCTTTTACCGAGAATAACTCTATCACAAAATTCGAAACTTGTAAATGTTTTAAGCCAATTTTTTATTAGGAAACGAGAAAATCGAATGCCTAATGACATAATGTGGACTAACTATAGTTAGTTCCTCATCTACAAGCATAAATCTTTTCAAGTATCATCGATATCGACAGTAACCCATCAGGTTGAGTTATAGTAATTAATGAGGATAAACAAGTTCTTACTGTATATTAAATCGTTAGCCAATTGGTTGAGGTTGCCAACGGACTCGACGAGACTGCTGCCAGTGCCACGGTAGTCGATTATGTGTTCGGGTACGTCACCGTCGCGACCTGCACCGACACATAATGTTAGTAAAATTTGGAAAAATGTATTTTAACAAACTATTTTCGGTTAGACACATCAGACATTGTATTCCTTTTTTGATATTAAATCTTTGCTCGTTTGAAATTCATTCTTAAAGTCTACGTAGCATCGTTGAAAGCTTCCAGAGAAAAAAATGATAAGCAACTGATCAAGAGCCTCCTTACAAGGTTTTTTATGCTAAAGGGCATCAAACCACTACACAATCGGTGCCAACCGTTGACTGTCGCAACACCAAAAGAGTTACAAGGACATCTTATTACTTCTTACCTTTCAAAAGAGCTTCAGATCCAAGTCTTCTGATTAATTGCATCTGTCTGTCTGAAGGTTCGAGTCCCAGGTCGTGGAAGTTCTCTCCTGATGGCAGACCGGTGCCACGACGTCGAGGACGCTCCTCATCCGTCAACTGATGAGGAGTGAACGTACATCTGGAAGTAGAAGTCAGAATTTATTAAATGTGTACTAATAAGAATTTAATATTGATATTTTCAACTCTAATACAAACTGTATAAGGGTCATATTGCTGCTATTAACTTTATAGTTACAATTCAATATTTTTTGTTGCGGATTTCGACTTGGCGATTGAAATTTCTTTTGTCAACATGTCAGCCATAAAATTTTTACTACAAAACATATTATTATGTTTCAACGACATTTGAAGGAATTTGTAATTATTTGAAAGTCAGTGGACACTTTTTAGTTACAAAAAACAATACGTTTTATAAAACTAATACGTTTTTAGTTACATTTAAAGTTGATCACAAGAGAGGGTGAGCATATTATACTTACTTCCAGCGCGCCAATCCCGTGGCGCCCCCAGGGCACGGTTGCACAGCGTACGTGCCCGCTAGAGTCCAGTTCCAGTTCAAACCTCGAGCACTGACTTGTGGACAGAACACACGACGTCCAATGTTTGGTGTGGCGATTGTTGCTGTAATGGAAAGAGGTAGAATTATTAGTTATTTGACCTAAATTATCAAGTTTGCAAAAATGCATGGTAATTATAAATTCTTAAGTAGATAAACAGGTGGATTTTTTTTTTTAAGGGGGGAAAATCATCGAATGACTGCTCCCGCCTGGGTGAGGCGGAAGGGAGTGTCAGACTCTTACTGACTAAAAACCACCCCGTTCCTTCTCCTGCACGTCGAGCCGGAGCCCCGGTTACCCGTTAGGTTGGTGGATAGCAATGCATAGCTTAACTAGTTTGATCCACCAAAGAAAAACTTAATTTTCTAAGATAGATACCCCCTAAAGTCTTGAAATTAAGTGTTAGTCTGCTTATAAAGAAAAGACTTGTCTGGTGCTGTGGGTGTCAATGGCGCCGATTGCTTATCATCAGGTGATCATTCTTTTGCGATTCAGAACCTTGAAATAAGTAAATAGGAGCTACTTACAAAAAGTTCTTTCAATTTCATCAACTATGTCGCCTCCTGGTCTGTTGTCTTTTGGAGCCAGGTGTATGGATGGTGTTGGTTCTGAATCCTCGTCTTTTGATGGCCATTCCAAAGTTTCTTCTGTCACAGCTGTAAAATCGAAAGTTTTGGGTTACTTATATTTTTAAAGGGGCAATAGGGTAGATGCCTAATTTTTATTTTAATGTCCGTCTGGTAAATCATTAAATCATTAGACACGTATTTTTTATATTCTTACAGAAACGAATACTTTCGATGATATATTGATTTTAAATGTCGCGTGACGTCACTTTTATGTACGTTTTATACGTAGAAATGACGCTTTAGCCCCCACTCTTAAACTTTGATTCATTTTATCTATGTATTGTTTTATATCTATGTATTGTATTATACGACAAAATAAAAAATACTTGTCTAATATTATTCATTACCTAAATAACGGTCTAATTAGATTTTTAATTTTCATACCCTGTCATCATCCCAATTCTAATCTCTAATACTTTCGTAAGATTTCGTAATTTTTAGGTAGAAATTGCAATATGTCCTAGACCAGAACAGAACCCCGCATCAATTAATAGTGTAGCCAATTATTAGAATACTACCACGCTGTCGTTTATAAACATAAAACATACAACGTTACAAATTGTGTTAAAAAAATAATAATAGATAAAAATAATAATAGTAAATTGTTAACTAAAAATATTACAGTAAGGTTCAAATTACTTACTCGGTTCATCTTCCTTAGGTGGTTTCTCGTTCTTCTGTTCGGGTTCGTTGACCTTAGTCTCCTCTTTGACCTCAGGTATCGTTTCCCGAGGACTCTGAGGAGGTTCCCTTTCTGATGAGGAGTCTGGTTGTCGTGTTGTAGTCTTCTAGAACAAATTTAGGTTTTAGATCTTAATTTTCGACGGTATTGATCTAAAAGGAGGATCTTGTAATGTGGTAATTATTGTGACATATACATAACATCACGCCTTTTTATCCCCTAAGGGGTAGGCAGAGGTGCACATTTCGGCACTTAATGCCAATGTACAATGTAACACCCACTTTTCACTATCTATGTTATGAGTCCCATTTAATAGGAGGTGAACCTATTGTTTATTTTGAATTAAAAAAATAAATAGATTCTTGTTTCCACCAGGTACTTAATGAATCACTTTTATATTGGATACAGAGCAAATAAGCTGGCTAATCGTCTGAAGGAAACCAATCAACGTCAACCTTACTTATTGGTAACACTAGAACAGTCACAACTGCGTCACAAACCTTTTCAAAAGCAGTTCTCTTTTTCAATAAAAGACTGAACTGACTGAAGAAAAACGACTAGCTTTCTTTAGAAGTCTTTGTTCGTTTTTTCCCTCACAAATTTAATTTGAGGTACAGATTTTAAACTGTCAAACACCAAGCGGACACCGGTGACCGCAACCTATTGTTCTATAATTGTGTCTGCAAAACCGGTACTCGACGAGTTAAAATAAAAATAATCAATCACCTTAGAAGCGACATCACCAAGTTTGACCTCAGGTGGCAACGTTATATGAGGTCTGAACGTCGGCGGTGTGATGACAGTGGGCTTTTTCCGTTCATTCTGCTGGGTCTGCACTGGGTTCTTGGGAATCGGTGGCTGGGTGGACCGCCAGACCGTAGGCTGGGAGGTGATCAGCCAAGGCGGTGATGGACGATTCGTTGTACTTGTTGTTGATGCTGAAAAATGGTGATAGAAGATGAGACTTGTGACTGGATTTGAGAGAAACTTAATTGGAATTATATGTTCCTATTATATTTTATGAGACTGGTAGGTAAATGCATTGACTATGTTAAAGTTTGAGCATGTACGATTTGTTTGTATTATCTTTCTTCTTCGCTAAAAAGGGTCCGAGGTTTTTGGAACACGTCTTTGAGTGATTTAGACGTCTCAGATTGCTACCATAATTTTTTTTTTATTTAGTTTTCAAACTATTTTTATTTTGATATGTTTTTTTACAAATAGTTTTTGACTTACCTGGTACACATTGATAGTGGGCTTCTAGATATTTGAGCGTGTTCGGGCACGGGTCGCCGAACATATTCGTGCTGGCCAGTATACTACAGTTTTGATGCATACTACATCTGCAATACAAAGAAAAAAACAATGTTAGGTTAACTTCATTTTTCAAAATGGCGGTATAGTATTTGTCATAGGTGTTGAGTCGAGTTGAAATTTTAAATGTGGAACGGTCATTTCAACTTGGAACAGACGCCATTATTTTGAAACATATGTCCTGTTATGACTTAAGAATATTTAAAGACGAATGAAATTAATTATAATTGTCGTTTGACAAACCTACTTTTGATTTATTGAAAAAAATTGTCGACCTAACTTATTTTTGCAACACATGTTACAGAAAATCCGGTTGAAAATAAAAAAATAGATATCCCAGTCACTAACATAACAAAATGAAGACATGGAAGCGGTAGCCAGAAGTGTGTCTACAAATATAGCAATACTATTCCTGTAAAAACACAAAACTCGTTTTATTTTGAACATGGGAAACAGGAGAGTAACGTGTGACGCCGGCAATCAATTTAGACGTCATTTGCTGGAGTTAAGAGGGGTCCGCATACTTTATTGGCAATCTCACAGGCTAACGCGATCAACTTACGGAATATTTAATTTTCGGCAATTTTCGACAATTTTCGGCTATCCCCGACACTTTCCGTACGGCCTTGGGATAACGATTTGTTATTATCCCTGTCTAAATCGAGTTGTTTTAACTAAATTGTTGTGTTTACACTCAGTTAAAGTGAACGGTATTTAATTTTATTAATAAAATATTTACTTTTACTGTTGATGTGATTTTGTAATGGAATTTTGTTTATTGTTTTTGGTGATGTATTTTTCATTTATGCCATAACATAACATCTCGCCTTTTTAGGCAGAGGTGTAAATATCGGCACTTAATGCCACTGTACAATGTAACATACACTTTTCACTATTTATGTTATGAGTCCCATGTAATAGGGGGTGAGCCTATTGCCATATACCGGGCACATTTCCAGACTCCGTGCTACTACTGAGATTTTTAAAAACCCAGTAATACTTTGCCCGACCCGGGAATCTAACCCAAGATCCCTTGCTCGTCAGTCGCACTTGCGACCACTCGACTACTCGACCTTATGGTTTAATCATTAGTGGTATAATGATTATTTTTAACCGACTTCAAAAATAGAAACAGTTAATCTGTTTGATCTTTATGTATGTATGTCTGTGCGCGATTATCTCGCAATTAGCTGAAGCGATTTTGATGCGGTTTTCATAAAAGTGTTTAACAAACACTTAGAAGAAGGTTAAAAGAAGGTTTTTAGTAAATTAATTAATCGATATCAAAAAACAAAGGGGGTTTAAGTCGGTTTCTTTTTCTATGTGGTTTATTATTTTTAACTATAAGCTAAGTTTTTATGAATTGTAAACTATTTTTTAGAAGCTTACAGTTAGATACTTTACTGAACTAAACTGAAATTAGCTTATAACAAATTTTATTCGAAAAACTTCAGACAATTAATGTCAAAAATTCATTTTAAAACAAAGATTTTGAATTGATATTGATTAATTAATTTCGGCCGTTAATCAAATCTTATGAAACAAGTCCAAAAATGTGTTCAAAATAAGAAATTCAAATATCCATTTTATTACGCAAAACATAAGATTTAATTTCCCATTATGATAATCGGATTAGCTACTACCAGCTAGAAAATGGTAATTTTCTTCTAAAAAAATATTAATAAACATATTTTTTAATCAAATATCGATATTGAATTTGTGTAGGTAGTGATTATTTAACTATATAAATATAACGATTATCCGTTAATATGCTATCAAAGTCTTATATCGATATTAAAAGAATATTACGATGTTAATGGCATTGTCAATTTGGTAGTAAAATATAGTTTTTGAATTTTTGATCATTTCTCTTTAATATGTCGTTATTATATTGTTTGGTGGCCCAGAAGTTTAAGACGCCCGCTTCTCATGCATGAGGGGACAGGTTCGAAACCTACCAACGGCAAGTACCAATGTGACTTTTTCCGAGTTATATGTACTTTCTAAGATTATCTAGACACCACTGACAAACGGTGAAGGAAAACATCGTGAGGAAACCTAGGCTTATAATTTCTAATAATAAGTTTGTAATCGCCAACCCGCATTGAGCAAGCGCGGTGATTAATGCTCAAACCTTCTTCGTGTGAAAAGAGGCTTTGCTCAGCAGTGGGCTGTTGATGATGATGATGATATTGTTTGGTTGCCTTGATGGTTAAATGATAGCAATGTTGTTGAACGAGGGGCCTCGTCTTTGATTCCCGAATCTGGTAAAGTACTACGCGGTTTTTTCGGGTTTTGAACTCTAGTAACCACGGAAGGTTGTGCCAGAAGTATAGCAATAAGACCACTTTTTTATACATCGTATAAATTGGAAGTTATTTTATATTTTGGAACGGAATGCCTTATTGATTTAGCTAGTTAGTGACAGAGTTCGATCTCCGTGTCGTATAAGTATTAGTTATTGATTTTGGAAATCGTGACCGATGTGTTTGTCATTTCTACGAATGGTTTGTTTGTTTGTAAACAGCTCTGCTTACCGTTACGGTGGGAAGTAGGTGTCATGTAAAACATATTTTGGTTATACAACTAAGAAGGTACTGAAGAACAGGTTCTCCAAATAATAAATGGAGGTAGATAATCATCAAAATGCTTTACAATTTCATCGTTATTTCAATATCTATATACAACAATATATACCTAGATAAAGCTATATATAGAGTTATATATATGAAAGACTGCCTTGTTGGCCGAGTAGTCGCAAGTGCCACTGCCGAGCAAGGGGTCTCGGGTTCGATTCTCGGGTCGGGCAAAGTATTACTGGGTTTTAAGAAATTCTCAGTAGCAGCACAGAGTCTGGAATTGTGCCCGGTATATGGCAATAGGCTCACCCCCATTACATGGGACTCATAACATAAATAGTGGGTGTTACTTCTGTGTGCACCTTTGCCTACCCCTTCGGGGATAAAAGGCGTGATGTTATGTATGTATGTATAACCATAAAAATGCCATAACACTGAAGTCCGGCGCGTCCTCAGGACCTGAATACCATACGTTCCAGTTATCGGGTAGCCGGTACCGGGTAGCCGGTACCAGGTAGCCGGAGCCGGGTAGCCGGAGCCGGGTACCCGGCGGTGCAGTGTTTGAATCCTACTGTAGCTTTCACACGTACCGGCGAAATAAATGACATGAAATCGATAGTTGATTAAGATGTTTTTGTAACTATCAAAAAATATAACATCATCTTACCTGCTATGTAAAACGCGCAAACTCTTCGTGGACATGCAGTTGACACTCCAGTCGGTGTTGCCATGGTCGTTGCATATCGTGATCGAGAACCTTCCATAGTTCGCCCTGATGAGGTGGATCACGGAGCCCTCCCTGCAGCCAATCTTCAACGTCTTCCCTTCACAAGCATACGCGGTCTCGTACCGCGGTTCTGTAAAAAAAAAAAAACAAAAAAAGAAACATTAGTGAGTTGTATTGGAAACAAAATCTACTGAAACCAGTAGAGCCTTTCTCTAATAGTTCAAATGATTAAGTCGTATATCCTTACTAATATTATAAATTGGAAAGTGAGTTTGTTTGTTTGTTTGTTCTGCTTTCACGCCATAGCTACTAAACCGATTGCTTTGAATTTTTGCAGACGTAAATTTAGAAGTCTGGATTAAATAATAGGGTACTTTTTATCCCGGAAAAATTTGGTATTCCCGAGAGAAAACAAGTATTGGTATAGATGGCGCTGTGTATTGGTATATGTCACATAGGCTACTGTTTATCCTTTTGTAACGCGAGCGAAGCCGCGGGTAAAAGCTAGTTTTAAATAAATTAAAATGTCTCATGATAGTTATTCTACAAAGATAGAAATAATTACATAAAATGAAAGATCATTTAGTTTTGTCAAATTGGTACTGTCACTGTCGACTGTCGAGTAAAGCCGTTTTATGTTTGTGAACCTTATCACAGATCATTATTAAAACTATTCTGTGTCTAGAATGACATAGTTTATGTAGATTAGCTTTAATAAAGATAATAATCAAGACCGTGGTAGTAGCAAATTAATAAATTAAAAAAAAACAATGTCTAATCAGGTTTCACTGACGTGAATTGAAAAACTACCTAAACCTCCTTAAATCAAAATTGATTTCACATTACCGCATAAAATAACTAAAAGATGTCGATGATTAATAAAAGACTAGAAATTAAATAAAAAAAAATATCCAACTCATCACCCTCAGTTTGATTTCAATTAGATTTCCGATCGTACTTAATTATCGTTCTAATACACTATCGAGACTTAAAAAATGCGAGTAAAACAACCCTAAACTGGGGCTTCCCACTCCATCATACACAGACGCTCATTTCGCAGTGTGAGTCGGCGAAAACGAGTAAACGATCTGTCAGTGCTGCCATTAATTTACCCAGATTTATTATACAAGATCCTTACAATATGGGCAACCCTATTCAACGGGCAGCGATACCCGTACACCTTCCATTGCGCGTTTACAACGAAGAAAGATTCGAAAACAAGAAGAATACGAGCGATGTATTCGGCGCGAATAGGGATGGGGCGTGTTTTTCGCACTTGGAAAATTGATTCCGAAATTGATTATGAAATGTTGAGTTAGCAGTTTTCGTTATTGTCTTTCAGAAGGTGTTTTTAGATAGATGAGTTTGCGTAACGATAACGATCCAGTCACAATATCCGTGATTGGTCTAATTGGATTTATTTACGAATGAATGTTTTCGATGGCGGCCGCCATTGTCGAATTGTTTGATTATTTTAATTAGTCATATTTTTGTTTTGATTGGTATTGTTTTGTGGTGTTTGTTGTTTGTTATTTGATTAACGCAATGTTGTTGTGTGATTGGGGTTAAGGTTGTGAATTATATTTTTTTAATCAATTTTACTGGTTTTAAGTTGTTCTGTCAGACTTATTGATACATTGAAGTAGTTGTTTTGATTGGTGTTAGAGAATACAATAGATTAAGTATTAAATATCATATCAATTCGTGTCAAAAGTGATTAGAAAATATTAATATTCCGTGATCTATGTCCCGCTACCGAAATATCGTTATCTTTAACGACATGAGATATATAAATAACGATTGCAATACGTACATCACGATGACCGCAATAATCGTACGACTCTGTAGCTATTAATCAAAGAGTTGCCAGAGCTATTTATTGTACCAACAGATTAACGATAAGCTTTATGTCCTCACGATAAATTCGTTCTTTGAATATTATTCGAATAGCTTTTCAGAGACAAAAGAAAAAATTCAAATTCAAATTCAAATTATTTATTTGCACAAATATGGGTACATCATGTTGTTCATAGTTTATACAGTCATATAATAATATAGATCGCCATATTCCGGCTTTCGCCATGCAAAGTTAAGTGACAACAATTTAAGTCAAGATAAAAAAGATTAATTTTAAGGTCAAAAATAGTGGGTTTACGTCATAAGGAATAATTATTATTATTAAGTCAGAAAATAGCATATAGGTAAATTAAAAATCTTTGTCGATAAAAATATAGAAAAAAAATTGTATTTTTTTTTTAATTTTCATTTATTAAGTTATAATAGCAAATAGTGATGTGAATGTGTGTGTTGACCAATAATAAAAGTTATCGATATGTAAGAGAAACAAATCATAATAAAAATAATATTGTAAAGAATTTGAGGTAAGAAATATATTATGGCATTTTGCATAACGGTTCCTTATTAAGTTTATAATACAATTTATTGCATAAATGTTAGCACATTAAATAAATTCGAAAATTATGTAAATGTTTGAAATAGTAATTCTCTAACATAAAAGTATTTTGTATTCATAAGTGCCTGCTGAGAACAGATGTTTTGTGCAAAACGTAATTTCTGTCAATAAAATATAAATTATAATACACCTGTTTGGTCCGGTAGTCAATAGATTATTTATTAATTCCGATATTCTCTATGATGGCACATAGTCTGGACAGTAGCACGTGTAAAAGCATTCGCTGCACCATACACATTACGAGAATTTAATGAACTGTATGGTAGTGATTTCTCTATAATTGGTAAATAACACCGAAAAATAAACTTATTATGCACAATTTCATGACAAATTATCAACAGTTCACTAGAAACAACGTATTTACATTACATAAACAGTAATTATAACACATTACATGAGTGATGTGTCAACCAAAACAAAATCTATCGACAAAAACGTATCCGAAATCATTCCATCCAAATGACAATTAATTACAAACGATTTAACAGGATCTATTTTGAAATTCGAACCGTCCGCGTTCTTATTACGAAAATAAACGTCTTCAATAACGGTCCGCCATTTATTATTGACGAAAATATTTAGATATATCGAGACATAATTATGTAGGTACGTTTAATTATGGCTTCTAAGAATTATTGAACATTTTCTTTGATCATTATAATGGCCGATACTCTAATGGATTCGTTTGTTGGGTTTGTGTGATGACAGCTATATGACGTCTAATATTCGAAGCCTTTTCGAGTATTCAAAGCAACTGTCTACTAATGAATGGATGTATCATTAAGGTGATAGTAATTTCATTTGTTTGTCTGCTATTGTTTGGGGGAATACAATATTGCTGTGAGGGAAAGTTGTTGGTGAATTTTATTGGTGTTGTGTTTCAAAGATTTGTTATTATTGGTACCTTATCTATTTGAATGGAATCTTTTTCGTGAGAATTGTAGTTAATTATAATTCGTATTAGTTGTGGGTGTCATTTTTATACTTATAATTTTTGTCACATTTTTTTGTAATGTCACTGACACTTGGCAGTTATTATAACATCTCATTCATCATTACAAACATTGTCAATGTGGTTTCCCATATAAATAAATAAAAACCCCATTCTTACAAAGTAACTCTAAACCCCACCTTACTTAACCCAGTTCGAAAACTTTATCAAAAAAGTGAGGTGCGCTATCAAAAACATTTTAAATCTATCGACAAACCCCTTTAAAGTAGCCCCAACACTATAAAAACACGCGAAACTGCATTTAATGTCGATAAAACGTACATTGGGTAGTATTTTAAATCAGTAGCAAAAATAGCGAATGGTATCGTGGTCAGAATCGCTAGTCAGGCCCCTAATACTAGGTTTGAGGGGTCGATAGTAAAAATGATTTATTTGAGATGTCCAGCTACATAGTTGTTAGGGGGTTGAAAACAATTTTAGTCCACGGAGAATAGGGTGAGATAGCTTATTTTGTCTGTTTTTTTTTGTTATTGTTTTGTTCGGTTCATGGTCCGAGCCTTGCTGAGTTTGTAGTAACGAACTCGACTTACAACATCAATGTCAAAATAACAAACATAAAATAGAATATTTTTTTAATGTACACTATTAATAATATAGTACATACAGAAAAGGAAATATCGAACATAAATGTAATGCGTATCACAGGATTACAATTTATTTAAATTACAAAATAAAAACTCTTAATATTCATATCCAGTCAATCCTAACATATATAATGCAAACTTATTTTTAAAATAAATTATAACATATGGCATCAAAATCAGTTTTAACTATACTAAATAAAAGCTAGTCCTTCAAAACGTTGCACCATAATTTAATTTCAAGAACGTATAATTAACTCAGTGTACACCCTGCCTTATAAGTATAACAAATACTCTTTTATGTCCCACCTTCTCTATTGTATAAACACCCTTATTCCCACACACGTACACGTCACACACACACATACACATCATAATTATATCGCTACATTACAATTCCTTTTTCAAAGCCCGTAATTACCCGGGTAGGTTGCGCAAACTTATTAATTTCTCACCACGACATCCTTAAACCGTTGTATTAAGGTTTAAAGTTGCTAAATTAAGTTGTAAGAGGAAATTGTTTCGTATGAAACCTTGTTGGGAATACACGAGTGTCATTTGTTAGTGATGTGTCGTCAATTGAATTTCTTGCCATTCGAATCGTGTCGGGGACAGAATCGAGTAGGAATGACAGGTATTCGTGTTCCGAGTTGCGTGTCCAACCATTAATTTGTAAATACAACTTGGGGTTAATTGACAAGCAGCATAAAAAAGCAAAAACATGCCCCTTTCATTCATGCTTCGTTTGCACTACTTGTTCAATCTAAATCAACTATGAAATCTCATTGTTTTTTGTAACTAACTTGATTAAATGAACCGATAAATCGATTGTTCTAATCCAGATACTTCACGATTCCCATCACTAATGCCATTTGATACCCGACCGTTGTGTGAGGTGGACGTGCCAATAACGCTCCAGTGTTTAAATGTAAAGTATCCGTTGTTTTAACAATGGTTAAGTCCATAAATGTTGTTAATTAATATTTTCGATGCAGATGCAACAATATCGGTTTCCCGGTGAATTTAATTCACTACGTCATTAATCGAGATCAGCATTGGTTATT